GGAATTTTGCCTGCAAAGATTCCATAAAACAGAATCCTGGGCATGTATATTCTCTTCCATTCACCCAGGCATAATTTACAGGAGTTTTCATTGATTTCAAATCAGCCAGAATATACACCCCAAGTTCACATGGCATGACATTTTATTACAAAGAGGCTTCAATCTCCCAGTGAGTTTATCCATGTTTTCAAAACTTCAATTATTCCATGCCCTGCATATTATGTCTGATTGCATACAACTTTAGTACAGGAGCTGGCCAGGCATCCAAGGAGACCCTACATCACAAGAAGGCCTAAAAAAAAGTGTTTATTTTATAACTAAAGAATGGTTTCAAAGTCATTTGTAATTTGGGGGTGGATGCCTGGAATTTGAACGCATACCAGTACTTCGGTGACACATGCTCTGTTTTATTTCCGAGGTAGCCAGTGGGCAGACATGCTCCATGTTTGATATGTGAGATGTTCATGTAATAGTCCGCCCGAGGGGACTGAGTCTGGTGCTAGGAGATGAGGAAATCCTGCGCCTGCCGTGAGCATGTGCAGATCGGAGGGCTAGGCTCGCATCCTTTTTCAAACTTCCTTTTGAAGACATGGCTGAGGTCATTTCTTTAAGCACTGTAATATAATTTCTCTGTGGAAGCTCAAAGTGAAAAGCTTAAAGAGCGCCTCTGATCCACCCACTCACCGGCGTGAAGAATTTAATCCAAAGGAAATTGAGATATTTGAATAGAACCATTGAGAAGTCAAAATGTCAAATTATTAGCCTTTAAAATACTTAGGCTTACTGAACCCATAATTTTTCAAAGCTGGATTTGCCATACAACAGAATTTGTTCTTGAACATACAGTGCTACTCTGAGGACAGAGCAGAGAAGAAACGGAACGGCAACATTGGATCATTCCGTTATGGAAAAAAACGGGAAGGTTGAGGGGTCCAGTAGCGCCCCCAGGCGTTATATGAAAATGGTGGCTGTCTCCCCGTAGCTCAGGTTTATCTCTTTTTTTTAATATAAAATGTATTCTTCTTCTTGTTGTTGAGAATATAAACAGCAGCATACACCAATTCAACAATTTTCACGTGTACAATTCAGTGACCTTGATTACATTCTTCGAGTTGTACAGCAGTTCTCACCTTCCTTTACCAAGTTGTTCCTCCACCTTTAACATAAACTCACCACTCAGTAAGTTTCCTAGCTAATCTTTCGAGTCATTATTGTCAATTTGATCCCACAGAGATAGATCTTAAAAGAGGACAATGCTCAAGGCAGACATTCTTTACTAGTTAAGCTAAACTATTGTTTGCTTTTAAGAAGTCCTCATGGGTATTTTTGGTTTAAGGTTTAAAGATTATCTCAGGGCAATAGTTTCAGGGGTTCATCCAGCCTCCGTGACTCCAGCAAGCCTGGATTTCATGAGAATTTGAAATTCTGTTCTACATTTTCCCCCTTTCGATCAGGATTCTTCGATAGAATGTTTGATCAAAATGTTCAGTAATGGTAGCCGGGCACCGTCCAGTTCCTCTGGTCTCATGGCAAAGGACACAGTTGTTCATGGAGGCAGTTGGCCACACATTCCATTTCCTCCTCCTACTCCCGATACTCCCTCAGGTTTATCTCTTTCAGTAAGAAAAAAAACGTTTCTAATGTTAATGAATTTTGACCGCAATCTTTTAAAAAATAGGTGCTTCCCTGCTTCTTTACACTATATGGTGAATATAACGTATAGAAATGCACTGTAATATCGTGATACCCTCAGGGGCTACTGAGGTGTGCAGGACCACTGTCCTTTCACTGCACGGCCTCCCTGATGCTGCTTTTGTGAATCCAGTTCCCAGCTCTGAGAATTCAAGGCTGAATTGACACTTACCTGGGGGGGGGGGCGGATAACAAGCTGGTTAAATTAGTAAACTTAATATTGTATGCAATATTAAATCAGTACACTCTGCTCTAAGCACAACTTCACAACTGATCTATATGCTAACTTCCAGATACATACATGTGTGTATACATGCGCATATATCTTCTTCATTTCCCAGAAGCCTTTTTCTATATTATAAATATTCTACATTCTAAATGTGTTTTCCCCTTCCCATAGTCTACAAGGTCAGTGTTGGCAGAATTCTGACCACCCACTGAATGAAATATTGCCCTGTCTTGGCAATAGAAGCAAATACTTTGTTGGCGAAGAGAGAAGTTTTTATTCCACCCCTCCACTTTTATTTCAGTTTACCTATTTATTCTCTACTCACTTCAAAACCAAAGTGAGATGGTCCCACCCCCTCCATGAGGCCACCTCAATGTTTTTTTTAATTACTAAGATAAGAAGTGCAGCATCACTACCATGCCACACCATTCATCAATGGAAATCCATTCATGATAGAAGCCTTAGTTCCAAAGCTGACTCCATGGACAGGGCCCTGTACAGCTACAAGTGTGACAGGGAGCCTCGGAGCTGCTGTTTGATGAGGATGTATCAGCCTCTCTATTTATCGATTTGTGTATTTGTCTAGGTTCTCCTCTCCCTTCTAGGTGGGCAGCATGCTGAAGACTCCCAAATTACCGATCTGGCTGTGCAACATCAACGGAAATTATAGCATCCTTTTTAGCACAAACAGGCAGCTCTTATCAGACTGGAAAATGGAACGGCTCTTTGATCTGTACTTTTACAGTGGCCAGCCCTCACAGAAAAAGCCTGGGCGTCTGACAATAGGTGAGCATTTCATCAAAGAGACAGGACTGAGGCTGCTGGCGTTTAACAGCTGTGTGTATATTCACGCTAGCCCTGCAGGAAAATGCTTAGGCTCAATTTCTGAAATGAAGCCCATGAATGAATCCCGTGGGCCTAAACCCCAGGAAAACAGGTGGGATCAGAAGTACCACAGAGGAGCAAACTTCTAGGTAAGAGGAAAAACAAAAGGTGAAAAGTCCAGTTTCCAAAAAGGCTTCTCGAACGTCTTTTATCTTTTAGCCTGAGAAAAGTATTGGAAAAACTAGAGGGAGCAGGGTATCCAACTGCCAATTCCATATCCCACAACCAAACATGAGATGTTCATCCAGTGACGTAAGCAACCAAACAGATGGTGCATTTCTGTACAGATCAGTTCAGAAAGCATTTTTGAGGCCCGGAGCCCTGGTGGCACATGGCTTAGGAGCTTGGCTGCTAATGAAAAAGTTGGCAGTTTGAATCCACCAGTTGCTCCTTGGAAACGCTCTGGGGCAATTCTACTCTGTCCTATAGGTTTGGTTGGGATTGGCTCAACACCAGCAGGCTTGGTTTTCTGTTCGGTTTATTATGTGCCAGGCACTGGGCTAGACACGACAGAGAAGGCACAGTCCCAGCAAAACATTAAGGGGCCCTTCAAGTCCAGTGGGAGAAGCAGACAACTGTACAGGTCATTTCCATTCAATTATAGCCAGACTGTTTTTAACCTCATGAGGGAAAAAAGACTAACCTTAAAATAACTTTGAACATTGACCCACTGGACAAGGGGATAAAAGTGATGAGACTAGAAGCTCGTATCTGATAGCCTGGGGTCAATTTATGGAGTCTCTTTCATATCTGATGTTTTGCATTTAGCATCACAGGCCTGGCTGTAAGTAACTTGCACTCTTATGTCTGAATTTGGAAATGTATCTTAGTGATGATTTTATCTGTGGAGCTCTTAGTTCTTTTCCTTTAATTATGAGAAATGTATACTAGTCCATTTAATGTAGTGTGACATTGACTATATGTTCCTTAAAACATATTATTGTTTTTATCTCAACCCTCTTCTTTGAGGAAAGCACCATTTTTTAAATTATAATTAGCTCATAAGCATCAGACGCATTATGATCTGGGAACTACGCAGAAGTCTTTACATGCGTTATCCCATTAAATTCTCCCAACCGTCAGAAGAGGTAGTTACTATGATATCTGTTTCTACAGATAAAGCAACTGAGGGGTCCAATAAATAGTTGTTAACTGAATGAATGAGGCTTACAGATGTTAAGTACCTTCTCAAATGTCACACAGCTTGTTTGAGACAAACCCAGGCCTTGAATCCAGATCGTGGCTCCCTCACTGGAATGCCTTGCCCTCCACCAAAAAATCCAAAATGTACTCTTAGCACACGTTAAGAAGTGGTGAGATTTTCCTTTTTCTGTTTTTCATGACAACATTCCATGACCTACACCTGGCTCCACGTATGACATCATGATGCCATGAGTGTGTTACACAACTTATCAACATTCATGTCCCAAAATACACAGCAACCCAGGTTACCACAGACTTATTTTGCAAGGGGCATTTCAACACACCATCTACTGGAATCCCCTTCTGCTTAACCATTTCTAGGAACACAGCTTGCTGAGCCAACTACTTCCCATCCTCTTCTCCTTCCTTGCTGGTCTGACTTCTTCTGGAATGGCGTACATAGACTTGTGTCTAAATGCCAGGTGTTCCTCCCTCAGATACTCACTCCCATCACTGGGAAAAGGACCAACATGAAGATAAACATGGAGCAGAACGATGGTTTTCTCCAGTGGAGATGATAATCAGAACCAAGTGGACAGAGGCCACCATCAACTGGAATGGGACTGTCTGCTTTTTCTAAAGAGACCAGGATATGCAATAAGTCTGAAGCATCAGAACTG